CGTGGGCTCCATTGTGCCCAAGGCCACCCACTGCGGGGAGGGGCCACCTCTGTGGGCAGGGCTGTGAATGGGCCTTTCACTCAGGACCCTGGGGTCGGGGCAGGAGGGGCCCTGGTCCCCTGTGCCTGCAGGTTGCAGGTGCAGGCGGGGCCTCTTTTCATGTCTTCCTTGTCATGTCTCCCGTTAGCCCCATCCCAGGGCCCCCCACCAGGCTGGCTCCCCACGTGGCAGACACGGGGCCAGAGCCCCAGAGGCTGGACAGATCAGTCGTCCAGCTGGGCTTTGAACCCACACCTGCCTGATGCCTGCACTGCAGGAACCCCTGGTTGTGTCTGGAGCCTGGGGGGGGGGCGGTTCACCAGGCCTCAGGCCCCCGGCCCCTTCCCTGGCAGCTCCTAGGCAAGGCTCCTCTGGGAGCACTGAGAGGGGTGTCAGGCCCTGCTGGGGCTCTGTCGGCACCAGGGCCTGTTACCATGGGGATGAGCAGGTCTGCTCCTCGCCTGCTTCTAATCTGGGCCTCACCAGGCCCTGAGCGTGATGCTGCCCACCGGGGAGTCCAGCCTTCATCATGGGCTGGGGGACCCCAAGGCAGTGGTCTGAGCCCCCAGAGCAGACCTAGGGGACCACCAGCTGCCGGGCCCAGGGCTCCAATGAGCGTTGCTTCTCACCATCCCCCCAACCCCACCAGTGTCTCCTGGAGGAGACCTCACCAATTAACGAGGCAGGAATTTCAGGGCCCAGGGCTCCTCCTGTTAAGTGGCTCAAAGGAATACCCATGGAACTCTGGAAGTGGGGGCTCCTCTGTAGGAGGCCCCCAACCTTCCAGTGGGCGACTGAGCCTGTGCTTACTTTGCTGGACACTAGGAGCTGGTGTGGAGATGGGGCACCCCAGGGGGCACCGCGGCCTGGGCCTGTCACCCACCCCGGCAGTGTATGTGCCAAAGAATCTTGGAGACTCAGCTTCTCTCTCCCCTCAGGGGGCTGTCCCTGGGGATTAGGGACACAGAAGAAGGCAGTGATGGCCTGTTTTCTTCCATTTTTCAGCTCTGGTCTGTTTTTTGTAGTGTACCCTGCTTCTGGGCAGTGGAGGGATTGTGGGTGATGCTAGGAGGAGGGCGGCCCAGCTGGCAGCAGGTGTCACCCCTTGAAACTGTAGGGGAGGTTGGCCCAGCCAGGCACAGTCTCCCGGCCCGCAGCCTGGCTCTGTGGGCACTGCCCCTTGGGTGCGGACTCAGGACCCCTGGCCCGCCATGCCTCCTGCAGCTGCAAGGAGCACTTTGCCGTTGGCTGGCAGTCGCACGCTCCACCTCCATCACTGCCCCCGTGTCCACTGTCAGGACTGCTGAGCCTGCCTGGGGAGACCCCAGGCCAGAGGGGGAGCAGCAGGCTGGGGCCCAGGGGGAAGAGCCTCAGGACTTAGGGCCCATCGGGACCCCTTACCCTGAATTCTGTTCAGCACCAAGGTCGACGTTGCCCCAGGCAGCATTCCCGGGGTCTCCAGTCCCTGGGGGCAACCCCTCACCCTTCGGGGCCCCTGGCTGCCAGGCTCAGCCCAGCCCCTGGGCCCTCCAGGAAGTTGGCGTGGGAGCAGAATTCGGGGAATCCCTTGGGGGCGCAGGCAGGGTATGAGTGGGCTCAGCAGCTCTGGCCCTTCCTCCAGGGCTTCACTGACCCTTCCTCCCCGCTGACCTCACCAGCCCAGCCTGCAGGAGAATGGCTCAGTGTGTTCCGTTCGGGGCTGTGCCAGGCAGCCCCCAACAAAGGAGCCTTTGGCGTGCCTGGCGCTGGAATGCCAGCCCGAGGCCGGGGTGGGGGTACAGGCCACTCCACTGCCATCCTCCCGATGGCCTCCGCCTCAGCCACACTGTCCGCTCAGCGCTGCCCGTGCACCGGTCCTGACTCCAGGCCCCACTGTCTCCTGCCTGGCTTGTCCCTGTAGCTTGGGGCACAGCCTTTCCAGACCCCCTGAGAAAGATGCCTGGATGTGGCTTGCAGGTGCCCAGTTCCCCTGGGTGGCAGACCTGCTCCTGACGGTGGGAGCAGGGGGCTCAGGGCGGCTTCCCAGAATGGGCCACACAGGCAGCCCTGCGAGGGACCAGTGAGGGTGAGAGACAGGGCAATGACGGAGGCTAAGCTGGCGTCCTGAGCCCCCTGCCCTGTTACAGTGCAGCTGCTCAAGTCCGCAGACCTGGGCCGGCACAGCCTCCTGTACCTGGAGGAGATTGGCCACGGCTGGTTCGGGAAGGTGAGCTGCTGATCCTGGGGTTGTGGGGGAGGGACTGGCACCGTGGTCCTGCCTCGCAGGTGGAGACCTGCTTCTCCTAGGAGGCTCCCCAGCCTTGGGATTCCCTCTGAAGGCTCCACCCTGCCGGGCCCCTCCCTGGGGACCTCAAGGTCCCTCAGCCCCTTAGCGGATCCTAGGATCACACTAGGATGTGCCTCTGAGTGGGCTGGGAGTGGGGGCAGGGAGCAGCACCTTGGTGCCGGCTCCTCCCTGGCCACCAGCCGGGGTGGGACGGCGGGGCCTTCCTCACTGCGGACCCCGGAGTGCCGAGAACACCTGGGGACCTTAAGGAGACAGGCGCTGAGAGACAGTGGCACAGCCAGGAGGGCCCACCCAGGAGGGTCCCAGGACCCATTTTGCAGACGAGTAAACTGAGGCACAGAGCGGGAGGACCGGCAGGGGCCGGGGGCAGAGCCTGAGGAGGGTGGAGGCTGCCCCCTGGTGACGCCTGCCCGCAGGTGTTCCTGGGGGAGGTGAACTCGGGCATCAGCAGCACGCAGGTGGTAGTGAAGGAGCTGAAGGCCAGCGCCAGCGTGCAGGAGCAGGTGCAGTTCCTGGAGGAGGCGCAGCCCTACAGGTAGGTGGAACCTGGGGACGGGTGCTGCGGGAGGGGGCGGGCGCCTGGCCGGGAGGTGGGGGCGCGGCCCGCAAACAAAGGCAAGCTCTGTGCCGTCTGGCTCCTCCCCTCCGCTGCAGAGCCAGCCCCCCTCCCCGCCCGCCCGCCCCCTCCTGCCCCGAGTGCGAGTCAGGGGGGCAGCCTGTTGGCTCCCGCAGGGCCCTGCAGCACAGCAACCTGCTCCAGTGCCTGGCCCAGTGCGCCGAGGTGACGCCCTACCTGCTGGTGCTGGAGTTCTGCCCCATGGTGAGTCTCCCCCGCCTCCTTGCAGAGGGTCCTTTGCTGGGCCTAACCCAGGGGTCCTCACACTCCCCCTAGGGAGGGGACCCCACCTCGCTAGGGAGGGTGGCTGTTGGGGCTGAGGGTCCACCGCACCCTGGGGTGCGGCCAGCGGGGGAGGCCCGCTCCCCTCCCTCGTTCACCACGCTTTAGTCATGGGGCTGCGCTGTGCTTGCAGCCGGCCCCTCGGGCCCCCTCCCACAGCTGTAGCTCCAGCCCCAACAGGGAGGTACCATCCACAGACATGGGCCCCCCACCGTCTGGTTTCTGAGCCCCTGGCCCTGGCTGTGCCCTCCTGGGGCTTCCTGGGGTTTCTGGGCCCTCCTTGGAGCTGGGTGGTGTCAGCAGGTCAGGGGTTGCCGGCAGACCCTCTGGTCACCGGTCCTGGGCTCCGTCCTGGCTGGGCGCCACTGCTGGTGTGGCCTGCCTGCCGCCCACAGCTGTTAGGTAGTGACACCCGGGCCCCCGTGGTCCGTATGCGGAATGTGGCCCCACTGACTGGTTTGGGGAAGGTCCCCCCAACCTGCAGGGTCATTCTGCCGCGAGCTGGTCTCTGGGGCAGACGCGGGGGCTCCTCTGGGCAGCTTTGGGCCCTGCGCGGGGGGCTGGTGGGGGCCTTGCGCGGGCATCCGCTCCCCGCCGGCGGTGACGGCGCTGCCCTTCTCGGCAGGGCGACCTCAAGGGCTACCTGCGGAGCTGCCGGGTGGCAGAGTCCATGGCGCCCGACCCTCTGACCCTGCAGCGCATGGCCTGCGAGGTGGCCTGCGGCGTCCTGCACCTGCATCGCAACAACTACGTGCACAGGTGAGGGCACAGGCAGCCCCGGGCTCACTGCTCGGCCCCCGCCCCTGCTCTGGGGCCGCGGGAGGCGAATCCTGTTACCTGGGTGAGTCCTTGTTCAGCCTCTGGGACCACCACGCAAGGGACCTTACTAAGAACACCAGGCGGATGGACGGTTAAGCTTAGCGACCCACACTGTTGGTCTGAGGCCCAGCCATCCTCTGTCCCCAAGGTGGTCAGTGCCACCTGGCGGCCCTACACCAGCCCCAGCCCGCCCGCGGGGGAGGGCTGACTGTCCCGCTTCCCGCCCCAGCCCCTGAAGTTGGAGAGTCGGGCCAGGGTGCCCAGCGTAGGGGGGCGTGCCAGAAGGAGTGGCGATGGACGTGGCCCCACCAGCCCCGGACCCCGCACGGCCGTCCTCCCCAACAATATCCTGGTGCTGAGTGATGACACATGTGACTCCAGCATCAGTGATTTTGTTGAAGAGGGCAGCTGCCAGCACCTGGCTTGCCCGCCCGCCCGCCGAGCCCTCCCGGCCCCTGGCACCGTCTGTGCCCCCAGCACGGCAGCACTTGGCCAATGTATGCTGCCCCCGCGTTTGTCCTGGCCCCCCGGCCCCCGACACCACAGGGCCACCAGGAAGGCAGAGAGG